TCCCTTCGGCGTGGCTTTGCCGAGGAAGCTAAGAATATGAATGCACATTACAATTCCTTATAGGGGAAACACATACTAATTAACGGATTACTAACATAGCATATAATCACTAACACACATTACAACTAATTACTAATTTACAACTCATTACTAATCATAACCAATGACTAATTACTAATCGATTATATAATTACAATACCCCCCCCCCCCCCCACTCCGCCTCTAATCACTGCACCTGATATGAGTTAAATGATGACGTCACCCTGCTGCTCTATATAAAACCGGGAGCAAGCGAGGGCTTTACCATTCTGGCGAATTGCCCGATGATGCTGGATGTATTTCCTCTAGCAGCGCTCCTCCCCCTAACCCACATCCCCCTCTCTATCACTCCTCCCTGGCTCCTCCCCCCTCTCTTACCTATATAGCCTCTTGTCACAGCAGCCATTTTGCCCACTTCAGCAATTGTTTCTTGCTGTGGTTGTCCAACCTGGTGACGGACACTTGTGTTGCACCCGAAACGTCGTGATTTTATTTATTTCATTTCATACCTATGTGACTTTACCGAAAGAACCAAAGAGTATTCACATAACAGTAAGTGTTATTGGTTTAGTACTCGAGAAAATGCTTTACATTAATGTTTATTAGTCCTAAGTACTGTTTATATACTTCATGTGAACGTTCTGGTAAATTCTACGTTATTATTTGCATGCCCATCATCTGGATATGCCACTTATCTGGGCCATACGTGTGTATGTACTCTATGTTGAACATATTTCGCACCGTACGTAGCCAACAGTGCTAATTAGAGGTGCTTAATATCAGGTACGTACACCAGGGGACAGGAGGGAAATGTTCTCCACAATAGTGTCAAAATGTGAAACCCACGGCTCCTTGGAAACATCTCTAAACAGTCCAACCCCACTCATATACAACGGAGTCAGAGCCTCATGCACCAACCCCGAGAGTGTACATAGTTATAAAACTCACAAAGAAAGTCATAAAATGTGGAACCACCAGCCTTGCAACAATGATGAAATACCTATGTTTACAGTCTTGCCTACAATTTCCCAAAACTCTGACGCTAAGCACATGGTACAATACACGCTTTCCTGTGATCGCCCCATGTCTATGTATGATGGTTACTCCATGCTTATTAAGCAATTTGAAACATCTAAATACAGAACTCCTCTTATCTGTTTCGATACGGGGAACCCATATAAAAATGTTGGATTATCTGCATATCTGCAGAGGAATAATCACGGGTAATGGGATTAATTTCTTTGGGGCCTCCGCTTATCTGCAAAAAGATCATGGATAATGGGAGTAATGATAAGGAGCAGCCAAAACTCTCTGCATGTGTGTCTGTCTATATGTCTCCATGTCTGTGTTTTGTCTCTCAAATTTAGCAATCTTTGGAAGATTGTAATCAACCAGGTGGGGTGTTGACTGTTGTGTTAGCCTACTCTCTGTGTTGTATTGCATTACATTTCTAAGTTTACTTTGTTTGTTTTCTTATTCATTCTTACTTGATGGTTGCTTGTGTTGCAATCGAAACGTCGTATTCCATAATTATTTAATTTTATTTTCTACGTGACTTTACCGAAAGAACCAAAGAGTAATTCCTACAATCACGAAAGCTTCGAATCTAGTTTGAACCACCTCTACCGGGAGGGTTTCCTCGCAACTTACACTTAACTTCTAATTTAGAAATCTTTGGGATAACGTAATCAACTAGGCAATGCATTAACTGTGTGTTAGCCAACTCTCTGTGTTGCATTGCATTACACGCTCTAATTTTTCTAAATTTGTTTTAAAACTTCCTTTTCTCTCTCTAAAATGTTATTCCGTACTTGTCTGTTTCACACTTAACTTCAAATTTAACAATATTTGGAAGAACGTAATCAACCAGGCTATGCATTAACTGTGTGTTAACCAACTCTCTGTGTTGCATTGCATTACACTTCCTAATTTTACTCAATTTTCTTTCTCAAATTTCTATTTTCTTGCTCTAAATATTGTCGTGCTGGTTTGTTTAGAAGTCCATTGTCTCTCCTCTGACCACTATGGTCCGGAATTCCACACAACTCTCTCACTGTTATCTACCCCAATCCCCCCCCCCTCTCTCTCTGCCCAACCTCTCCGCCCTCTCTCTATTTAAGGCCTCGACACAGAGGAGTTGTCTTTCTGTTTTGTCTTGGTGTGTGTCTCTGTCTGTGTGTCTCTGTGTGTGTCTCTCTCAACATGTGTGTTTGTCTATGTGTCTCCATGTCTGTGTTCTGTCTCTCACTCAAATTTAGAAATCTTTGGAAGAACGTAATCAACCAGGTGGGGTGTTGATTGTTGTTTTAGCCGACTCTCTGTGTTGTATTGCATTACATTTTTAAGTTTACTATGTTTGTTTTCTCATTCATTTTTACCTGATGATGGTTGCTTGTGTTGCAATGGAAACGTCGTATTCTATTATTAAATTTTATTTTCTACGTGACTTTACCGAAAGAGCCAAAGAGTATTTCCTGCAGCCACGAAAGCTTCGAATCTAGTTTGAACCACCTCTACGGGGAGGGTTTCCTCGCAACTCACACTTAACTTCTAATTTAGCAATCTTTTGGATAACGTAATCAACCAGACTGCGTTAAATGTGTGTTAGCCGACTCTCTGTATTGCATTGCATTACACTCTCTAATTTTACTAAATTTGTTTTAAAACTTCCTATTTCTCTCTCTAAAATGTTATTCCGTACTTGTCTGTTTCACACTTAACTTCAAATTTAACAATCTTTGGAAGAACGTAATCAACTAGGCTATGCATTAACTGTGTATTAACCAACTCTCTGTGTTGCATTTCATTACACTTCCTAATTTTACTCAATTTTCTTTCTCAAACTTTCTATTTTCTTGCTCTAAATATTGCCGTGCTGGTTTGTATATAAGTCCATTGTCTCTCCTCTGACCACTATGATCCGGAATTCCACACAAGTCTCACACTGTTATCTACCCCAATCCCCCCCCCCCCTCTCTCTCTGCCCAACCTCTCCGCCCCTCTCTCTATTAAGGCCTCGACACAGAGGAGTTGTCTTTTCTGTTTTGTCTTGGTGTGTGTCTCTGTCTGTGTGTCTCTGTGTGTGTCTCTCTCAACATGTGTGTTTGTCTATGTGTCTCCATGTCTGTGTTCTGTCTCTCTCTCTCTCAAATTTAGAAATCTTTGGAAGAACGTAATCAACCAGGTGGGGGGTTGACTTGTTTTAGCCGACTCTTTGTGTTGTATTGCTTTATATTTTTAAGTTTACTATGTTTGTTTTCTCATTCATTCTTACCTGATTATGGTTGCTTGTGTTGCAATTGAAACGTCGTATTCTATTATTACATTTTATTTTCTACGTGACTTTACCGAAAGAACCAAAGAGTATTTCCTGCAGCCACGAAAGCTTCGAATCTAGTTTGAACCACCTCTACGGGAAGGGTTTCCTCGCAACTCACACTTAACTTCTAATTTAGCAATCTTTTGGAAAACGTAATCAACCAGGCTATGCGTTTAATGTGTGTTAGCCGACTCTCTGTGTTGCATTGCATTACACTCTCTAATTTTACTAAATTTGTTTTAAAACTTCCTATTTATCTCTCTAAAATGTTATTCCGTACTTTTCTGTTTCACACAACTTCTAATTTAGCAATCTTTGGAAGAACGTAATCAACCAAGCTATACGTTAACTGTGTGTTAACCAACTCTCTGTGTTGTATTGCATTACACTTCCTAATTTTACTCAATTTTATTTCTCAAAGTTTCTATTTTCTTGCTCTAAATATTGCCGTGCTGGTTTGTTTATAAGTCCATTGTTTCTCCTCTGACTACTATGGTCCGGAATTCCACACAACTTACCTGATGATGGTTGCTTGTGTCGCAATAGAAACGTATTCTATTATTTAATTTTATTTTCTACGTGACTTTACCGAAAGAACCAAAGAGAAAAAATCCAATATTTTTTAAAAAAATAAATTAACCATATATTCAGCGTTGAATACTTTCTGGTAATTAATGCAGGCTAGGTGCTAACATTTAAATAATTATTGCAACCTTTGCCTCACCACGTATCTCTAGCTATAACTAAAACAACAAGTTCTAGTTAATAAACATACAATGAAAATCACGGCCATCTAATTGAGACAACAAATCAAATTCCGATCAGAGAACCATTAGATTTAACTCTGTCTCAATGTCTGTGTGTCTCTGTGTCAGTGTGTTTGTCGCCATGTACCAAATTATTAACATTATGACAACCGCGGATTGGAATTTTGTTTAGTGATGCAAATAGATGGAAATTACATTTGGATTCATTGTTTAAAATTGTTTATGAGGGAAATTGAAAATAGTGATATTGCAGCTGTAGTTGTGGTGTATACGTAAATGTGGTTATACTTAATATGGGGGAAGTAGCAGCGAATATAAGATGTATTGTAGTTGTGTTTATTATTGCCATTTTCTGGTCTGGACTTGGCAAGGTTGAGGACACTGGCATTTTGTGGTGTCTGTGGCGGGTGAGGACTGAAATTGTGTTTCTGGTGTGTAATCATTACAGTGGTCAAGTTGATGATACAAGCGTAGTGACTGTGATTGTCATGGTGTGGTGCTGGGCTTACGAACCCAAAGCGGATAATGTGTTAACATTGTGTAGCCTGCTTACGGGGTTTAGTACCAGCCCTAGCGGGGCTTGGGTGAGCACTGGTCAGTGCAGAGGCACCGCGAGCAAGTGTGCGGTGCGGGCTCCCAGTGAAGGAGCTAGAGCGAGCGTCAGCCAGCCAGGGTTACGTTAGGGCATGATACTCTGGTTGACCTGCTGACACATGACCGGATGATATTGGAGGGGGGCCACCGGTGGACGGAGGCCACTGGGTGGTCACGTGGTCTTAAAGAGCTCTCGGGAGCCTTCGAGAAAGAGCTCGAGAGATCTGGAAAGTGGGCGGGGCGAAGGGCGGAGCCAGCCCCAGCCCAGGGGGATATAACAGGGTCCCATGAGGAGCTCGGGGTTCTTCATGTGCTGGTGTGAAGAAGATCCATGCCAGGGAGAAGAAGCCTCGAGCCACGCTGTCCGGGACCCAGCTTGTGGTCTGGGCCGGGATAGTGAGCCGTGTATAGTTCTGCCGTAGCGTGGTTAGATGGGCATTCGATACCCGAGTGTAGATTGTGTGATGTTATGTTGAAGTTGCTTAATAAATAGTGTTGCTCCCAAGACAACGTCTGCGACACCGTTACTGTGCATTTGGAAATAAAGTTTTGCCGTCCACAGAATGATTGATACTATTGTATCGGACGTCACACAAACTCTTTCAGAACGAAGAGGAACAAGACTAAGAAGCAGGACTTCAAACTTCATATTTGCATCATTATTTTTTTGGTGGCATCTGCTCTGATCGATATTAACTGGAGATGAGAGAGACACACACACTTTGGTTGCAATATCAATACGTTGAACAAGGACACGTTAATATACACGAGTAACATACAGTTTATAAACAGTTTATATGATGCTTCACAAGCTCAGGTGGCCGAATGTAAACTGCCATGAAACCGTAAGATATTACACAACATTTACTCGTGCAATGTTGACTCTACAGGGCCAGCCAGACATGCCCAGACATGTTTGACTGTGCCAGACCTAAGTGTTTATTTGCAGATAAATTATTCTTTGTACGAAGTTTGCGCAATTGCATTTGTTTAGACAATGCTGCCTACGTTATGCCATGTTCATGGCGTATTCACACACACACACCTGTGGGAGAAGATGAGCCAGACATCACTAAGGTAAGGCGGGTTGCTATTCCAACCCACGTATACATCTCATCTGTGTGGCATCCTCATTATATGTCCATGAAACAGTAACTATCACTTGAGTCAAACCAACTGGGACTAAACCACAGGGTCTTCATACAAATGTGTGCTTTAAACGGAAAGTTAAAAACGCAATGCGATTGTAATGATGATAGGCCTACATGAAGTTGTGAACTCGTTTGGCTAAAGCAGTGAGTCATAATCCACAAGTAGAGGGCAATTACAGTATCACGAATACAAGTTGTTTTTATTATGTTTTAACATTTGTTTTAATGTAAAAATATAAGTAACATCAATTTGCCGTACAAAATACATTACAGCTGTCGTGGTGTAATAACACACTGGATTTGCAATAGTCCAGTGTGCTATTGCACTTTTTGCAATAGTATTGCACTATTTGCAAAAGTGCAAATCCAATAGTCCAGTGTGCTATTGAACTACTATTTGCAATAGTATTGTTAGTATTGCAAATAGTGGGTTACCGTGCGGTTTGTAGTCCGTGCATGCCCAAACAAGTGCATTCTTCATTAATATTCCACGGCAAACTGTTCCTGGTTGCTATTCCCTTTCACAACAGGTAATCGATTCTGAACATACCGGTATACCGGTTATCATTTAACAACCCTAATAATAATGTACAACACCCTTTCCCGATCCGACAACAAATTGTGGAATAACACCTGTCTTACATTTAACAAGCTAGATGTGGTGACTGCAGAAAGGGCATCGTAGTCATCAAGTCTTAAATTTTCCATTTTCACGACGGGCTTAAATAGGCACGCAAAAATGAACTGGAGATGGGGTATGTATGAATAATATACAGCTCAATTTAAAACCCAACACATTGCGTTCCATACACCAGCATACGCATGGAGGTTAGCAGAATTGCTACTAATATTGGGTGCTGTGGAGGGGTTAGTGGAGACTGTTGAGAGAAGAGGGAGCACGGGGTGTGACGGGGATGTGGAGTTGAGTGCAGAATCGTTCCCTATGTGAACACATTGTGAATATGTGCACTCTTAATTATCTTCCAAGAGAGTACATTTTCGGCAGTTTTTTTACACCGATAATATATTTGAGTATATTTGGTTTTCAAACTATCTTTACAGTGCAAGGCTGTCACGTCGGTGCTGTTTCATAATGTCAGCAGTAGTTTCACAGCAGACTGTAGCAATGGTTATTAAGCTGGGTGAGTGTACTGGCAGTCTAAAATGTAGATAACCTCGGTGAGCATACTACTACTGTTAATTGTATTTTTTTCAGGCTACAGTCTACATTGTAGACTGCCAGTACACTCACCGAAGTTAAGAACCAAGCTACGGTCTACATTATAGACTGCAAGTACACTCACTCCGATTAGGAAACAGGCTGCAGTTTTATTTTAATGGTTTATTATTTTTATTCACTTTATTTTATTATTATTTTTCTATCTACGTGACTTTACCGAAATAACCAAAGAATATACACACCGAAGTATTAACCAGGGCGGTCTGCCAGAATTAAACAACGAATCTCTGGGCCATGTCACCGCTCCAAATATGTTCCTCTGTGGAGTAAGGTGTGACATTATTAAGGTTTATGTATTCGTACAGTCGTTAACATTTCTAAATTACGAAAGTTTATTTTAAATACATGTCTTCATTCGTAATGCCACATAGAGATTTCAAAGTTGTTTTTGCATCAATGGGTGACTTTTACTGAATAATCCTCAGTAACTGTGTCTTCAGCCATCTTGGTCCGCCTCTGTAAAAGGTGTATAACATCCATGAAAAGAAGCATGGAGAGATGCATTCTTGGAATCACATCGAGACAGAAAGACCAACGCATAGATTAGAGGACATACACAGGTTAATGACTTTATGGAAACTATCAAAAAGAGTAAGTGGGCTTGGGCAGGATACGGCTTGAAGAGATGACCAATGATGGTCAAGAATAATAACAGAGTGGCAGTCACAAAATGGAGTACATCCACCGAGGAGATAAAGCGATGATATCAGTTCATGTGCTGGTTCCGGAATGGATTGTTGCATTTCAGAATCATTATAAGTGGTGGCAGATTGGAGAGACCTTAATCCAGCAGTGGATTGATCATGCCTGATAATGATGATGAACTTCCATCTACCCCTCTCTACAGTGTGATGTTTAAGGCGAGCACAGCACAAAGTTGGCGGCATCAAGAAGGCAAGCGAGCTGAACGACTCCTCAACCATCAAGTATCAGAACGACAGCCTACAACGAGCTCGACAGCTCTCCGAGATGGAAACAAAGCACCTGCAGCGACGACTGCAAATAAATCTCGCTCACAGCCAAAGTATATACACACGTGCATACGGATACATACAGAATATGCTCAAACAAATAATTTTGTTTTACCTACGTGACTTTACCGAAAAAAAACAAAGAGTATGAATCCTTACAGTCACGAAAGCTTCAAATCTAGAAAAAATATGCTCAGTACTTGGGATAGTATATTATGGCAACCTATTACTCTACATTGCAACTTGGGTTAATAAAATAATGTAATAAGGTAGGCGCATGTAAAAAAATACTTAATAAAAAGAAAATTGTTCTGGGCCATGAAATGATCCAGCCAAATCTGTGTAATAAGACCCTCTACACCCGATATGGGCAACTAAATACAATGTTTATGTTTACAAGCGTTTAACGCACCAATTGTGATTGTTTCAGCTCACCGGTAAGTTGAAGAACAATTCTCACAGCCAAGTGAGGAAGACAAAAAAATGTTACATTACTTTTCTGGATCTTATTCTGAAGATGCTTGACGTAGTTTTATGCGAAATGTAATATCTAATTTGTACATTTGACCTAACCCAAAAACAATTATAACTTGGTGTTGTATATGTCGAGTGTTGAAAAATTAATAAAAATAATAAAAATGAAATGAAAATTTTTAAAAAATGCATAATTATCCGAAATTATGCAAAGGTACGTAATTATGCACATAATTTATGCTAATAATGGATGTTTAATTGTATTCAGTTATGCTAATTCATGCGATTATGTTAATGCTAGTCATTATGATAATTAGGCTCTGCCTCGTTGTCTCGGGTCGTATTATCAATCGGGATAATACAATGAATTGTATGAAGTTATGCAAGTTTGATGCAAGTATGCTAAATTAAGCTCGGCTTCGTTGTCTAGGGTTGTATTATCAATCTGGATAATACAATTATTCTCGCTTTAAAATTTACTGATTATGTCTTAGTGTTTCAATGTCAGGTTTACAAATTCAAATCTCAACGCAGGATACAGTTCTCATAATTAAGATTATTACACTTGAACTTAGGAAGGCACCACTCAGACACTTCTGTGTTAAGCAACTTTAATTTCTAAACAAAAACATAACACTCTAATATGCGAAATCTTATGCTTGGAATTGTCAACACAGTACTCCTGGAGATGTTCTCATTGATCCGCACATTTAACCCTCGTTGTTCAACTGGGTAACAGAACAATCGATTAATTCCTCAGCGTAACGCGAGCATATACGGCAATAGGAAAAAGTCCTTAAAAATGCATGCGACGATATTCATACGAATGGCAATAAAGAAACATGTCCCGAAGGCAAAAGTATACGTCAATGAATTAATTGGCAAGATTATGTAATTAACTAAATGTCTTGGAACAATGGTGTGCGGAAGTGTGCCTGCCTCAGCAAATGCTTATCAATTGTCTAAGGCTTCAATAAATTCGCGGGCAAGATTCTGTGATCAAAAGAAAGATTTCAACACAATATTCTCTCTGTGAGTGTGTAGATTCGTAGGTTTCTAACGTTTAGTTTTCATCAATGAATTCATTGGTAAAATTTATGCAATTAAAAAAAGAAAAATAACGACTAAAATACTTCTAAACGACCGTATCCACGTAACTCAATGGGCAGCAATGTTCTTCATGATCAACTATTAGTTTATGCACTCTTATCATTAGTCTTCTTATTATTAGTCCCGATTTGCGTGTTGGTGGTTTGTTTCCTTGATCAATTCTTTGCGTCAAGCAGACGCCGGGCGATGCGTTGTAGTGTTTGAGTGTGGGCGTGTCATACGAACAGCTTCCTCGCTCTCTCTCTTTGAGGCAGCAGCAGTTTTTGTCCACTGCTGGATGAAGAGAGTCGGCACGACGTTCGCCGTCGGCGGTGCACGATGATTCTTTTGTCAGATAGCACCCGCAGCTCGTCCGCTGATTGCGGTTCCTCACTCTTGTGTTGGTTCCCAGCTAGTGCTGGTCGGTGTGGGTCGAACCCACGGCGCTCTCCTCTTTCTCACGGGTGGCTGGTCAGGCTCTTTCCAATGCTGGATGAGCTGAGTCGGCACAATGCTTGTCGCTTGTCCGCTGGCAGCTGACACCCTTGCTCGATGACGCTGGTGGCGCTGCTGCACGCTCTCTCCGGCTCCGTGCTCTCTGGCGATGCCCGATTGCGCATGCAGCTGGTTCTCTGTGAGTTGGCTCGGTCGATGTTTGGCTCTATCCGCCCTTTCTCCAGGTTGATTACTTGACGTTGCTCGTCACTTTCTCTTGGGCTGCAGCTGCTGGTGCTAGCTGGCACTCGATGTGGTGACACATCGCTACTCGGCAATCCTCGCCATCCTTGGTCAATCGCAGGGCCCACCCCGGAGCTTGCCACTTTCTGTACTTTTCTGTCGCTTGCTGTAGTGTCCTCTTAACGTTGACTTCGTAGACTCGTGGCTTCTGCTGATGCAGCTCGTTGACGATGTGCCAGTCACCAGGGCAGGTTCCCGGAGCCTACCATTCGGAGCACTGCATTGTGTGTGTCGTGTTTTTGTTTTTATGTGAAATTCTCTCCCCTTGGCTTGCCTTCTCACAAAGGACCGGAACTTCCTTTGATTTCGCTCTCAGCCTGTGGGAACAGCTGTTTGTAATATAAGTTTAATCAAGGCCTGGTTCCTGTCACCTTCCTCAAGCCATCCCGCCATCAATGGAAACAGATGCTCCAGATTGCCCCCAAGTGCGTCCTTTCAGTCCTCCAACCCTCTGCAATAATTAATCTGGAAGGAGGGGGGTTCCCCCAGTCCGGTTGCGTTCTCCCCCCTCTTCCCCCATGGCTGGGGTTGTTACATTTTGTCTCTCTCAAAGAGAGGGGCGCTGGCTTTTGAAGTTGTTTCTCTTGTACCGTTTGAAAAAATATATATTATTTGACCTCTTATAGCTTGATGCCGTACCACTTTTGTAGTTATGATTCTGTAAGTGAATCAAGGTATGTTTGTAGCAGTGTTTACAGTACTTCTGTAGTGTTTATAAAGACGATTAAACTTCTTAGCAGGCACACTCTGTTTATTGTAATTATTCTCTTATATAGTCCTCAACACACACAGAGGGGTATCCGGTCCCCTCACCCGATACCCTAAGGAGGTACAGCCTCCAGACTCAGCGTAACCTACACACAGGTCTCCTTGATACCCAAGGAGGTACAGCCTCCTATCTTGGCGGGACTTACACGTCTACCGCTAACCTAGCCTAAGGAGGTACAGCCTCCTATCTTGGTGGGACTTACACATCTACCGCTATTCTAGAGTCCTCCGGCTGGGACCTAGGGGAGGCTATCTGACCCACCGCTGGCCCAGTGGGTCCTGACCACTGGGTACCCGAGCCTTAGCCCTCAGAAGTGCTAGAAGGCTGGTCCAGGGTCCTAGCTAGTCTTCAGCCCGGGCTTCGGTCTTCGTGTAGGGAGATAACTCCCCGAGCTCTGTTGGGTCACCCTTCTTATACTCGTTCATGGCCAGGTATAACCAATCACACATTCCCACGTGGAACTGGCTGATTGGTTCTTACCAAACCGTGGCTATGATCCACTTCACCTCGTCTGACCCCAACCGTTATGTACCCAGAGGTAACGCTGTACTGCCCCTTTTATACCTGGTGGCAATGCAGGTTATCGAACAGTGCGTAGTTAACACCTCTACACTTCCATCGTGGTTTGGAGTTCCTTCATGGTGTTTGATTTTCTTTTTAAGGGGAGATGCCCTCTGCATGCGTATGCAAATTTCCTATCACGTGCTGCTGGGAGGAAAAGGCAGTTGGGAGGCTCTCTCTCTCTATGGGATACATTTTATCTTGGTTATGTGTGATTGACCTATTTCGGATTTTTTATTCTTCTGGATGACCCTCAGTCTAATACTTCATAATTATTGTTTGGTTTATGTTTCTCCAATATTTCATTCTGTGGTTATTTCAGTAAAGTTGCGTAGATAGAAGAAGAATAAAATTAAGGTGAATAACATTAGTATTAAAATAATATATGAGAAGTAATAACCCACTAATGTAGATTGTAGCCTGGTTTTTAATCAGAGTGAGTGTGTTGGCAGTCTATAATGTCCACTTATTCGTGTCGCTAAGTTTTTGGACTTTTCCATTAACTAAAATAACCTAAAAAAAACTTGTCTGTTCGGTTTTCGCCACTCGGGAAGCTGGCGACGCCTGTTGTTTGTACATGCTTTGTGGCGGTCTTTGAAGCGTGTAGAGATTTCCCCAGGATCTCATTAGCAATCTCCCCCCTCTTTCCTTTGTACCAAGGTGGTTTTATTTATTTATTATCTTTATGGCTACTTCCTTGCTTGGTCTTGCTGTAAGGGGAGGGTTTCACATCACCCCCTTTTGCCCCAAGCAACACCACGATTGATTATTAAAAAAAGTATTGGCAGAATTATTCTTAATATCAATTTTGGAAAAAGGCCTATATATACAACAATGGGTTGTGTAGAACTGATGAGCTGAATAAAATCAAATCTAAATATGTAACAATGGGCTTACAATTTTGAAACTATGGTTATTATCACTTTAATTCAATTGGCATTAGTGCCAATTTTATAGCGCTATGCTATTGTAGTGCCATCGCGGGATGTCACTGTACAGTTTCCGGCCCTAGAGAGGCACGGCATGCGATGTAACAACATCGCGGGCACCGCTATGATGTGGGTGTAGTACTGGCCCTAGAGGGGCTCGGTGAGTGTTGGTTGATAGCACTAGGTGGCACCACGCTTTCGCGTGCAATGCCATCCCAACAGGATAGGGTGTGCGAGTGCCGGCCATAGTAATGGGGTTACTTAATGCCATGGCACTCTGGTTGACCCCAGAGAGGACACATGACTAGTTAAGTCTACAAAGGGGCCCAGAGTGGGGGCTAGGGGGGTCACTTGGCCGGGGTCCAGATCCTGCTCGAGGTTTCTGGAAGGTGGTTGTGGCCAAGGGTGGAGCCAGCCACGCCGCAGACAATATAAGCCGGGTCCCCCAGAGGGACCGGCGTTGTTCATCTTGAAGAAACCTTCGTCTACGTTC